CCGTATTAATGTCTTTTTTATTAGTGTTCAGACTTACCTTCCTTACTGTTCAGACTTACCTCGCAACAAGATTAAAAAGAAGCTTCTGTCTGCTATTTTTTCTTTACTAGCTGTTTAATAAATTTACTCTCCTACTGCTAGAGTTATCATTTTAATAACTTTTACTTTTTAGTACAAGGATTACACGGAATGATTAGTGTTAAGTAATATGATACATAATATGATATGAGTAAATTAATTACAATGAGTATTAAGTTCGCATAATGTTAACATTCTGAAGTTTTTGTCAGGCTCCAGTTTAGAATGTTATGATTTCTGGAGCATCTACTCTCGTATATTACGCGTTGATGAGATGATCTTGGACAAAGGACAGTTAAATTGAAAGTTGAGCAAATATCTGCCTTCGTATGAAACATTAAGATTTACATTTATAATGTTTTGCTTATGACTGAAAATTGAGCAATACATTGAATACACAGACTACAGCTGACACAACACAGATGCTACAGTACCATTTATAGCTATGCTCTTAAAGGTGGTAATCCCCCTTTCATGGGTTTTTTCATAATTTCCATGAAAAAAATAAATTTTACCATCTTCTCTAAAGAATTGACAAGATCGAAAAACAATAGACAACAAAAACTTTCAGATTCTCATTTTAAAATTACACTCATATTCATGACGGCCTGCTAATTAGCACTAACGTGTGACATAGGTATCGAAAAACCTAGCATAGGTTTTGAAAGGCCCAGGACAGATATTGAAAAACATTTGATATGACAAACCCAAAAAACATTCTCGTTTTTCATATGCATTATAAAAATGTAGTAAAGTCATTCGTTATTATTGCGTCCTATTTTTATGTGTTTTACTATTTATGTATGGGATACTTTAATGAACGGTTTGGTGAAAGTGTTTGAGTTAACGGTTGGAGTTGCCTAAAGTGTAAGACCTTTGACCATACATACGTGGAATTCACGCAAGATCGCGCGCGTAACACCCATTGCACGTAAATAAGGAAGCGGCAGCCTGCTGTGAGAAATATTTAAATTCTTTATGTTATCAAATACATCCACGTCAACGTTAAAAGTTGGAGTTATTTTTCTGGCGATATATGATCACGATATCAAGAAATATTCCTTCCATCTAATAAAACGGTAAGATAAAGATTTTGCATCCTTAGATGGCGACTCGATTTAATTTTAATTTACGTATCTATCTAAGTAGAACAAAGACAGTTTTTCATTTAAAATTTACTTAAGACTTTGACTAATGTAGGTATGATTCGACCTTAAAACTAGTTTGCTTTTTTATTTTTCATAAGCATTTAAACATGGTTATTGTCAAACCATAAAATACAACAAACATAAACAAGATATTCAAGTTAGATTTCAACATTGTATAGGAAATGAATATAATTGAAGCAGAACATTAAATCACTGTGTTTAACATGATTTGTTCATGTTTAAAAGTTATTTTTGTCATCGTTTAATCTTAAAATGATCGTTGTAGAGGGTTTTCATCACTTAGTTACGTACATCAACATATTTTGAACCTTTGATATGATAAAACTTGTTTGTTGATATGTGTTGATTTGCAACTGAAATAAAATACTAAAGTCAATATTTTATATGTGTTCTTCATCTTTTATAACTGATCAATGATTGTGGATAATGTGTGGTCGCTAAATATATTTTTGCTAAAGATTTATCTATTTACTTGAATTCATTCATGTACAGGAAGATCAATAATTGTTGGGTTGGGGCTCATATTAATTTATGTATATGATATGTTTTTATTCTTCAGTTGCTACCTATTTCATGTAGTTTGCCTATTTTTTTTGAATAATAATCTAACCAATGAAAAATGGTTTTGGTCATAGGCGTACAGATTCTTACATCTTTTACACAATTTTGGATCAACTCTCATAAAAATTATGTCCTCCAATTTTTCATTGGTTTTCTTATTACAATGTTTTGTTGACCATTTTTATTGCTTTCATCACTTTTGTTGACTTCTTGACACACTCCCTTTTTTAACAAGAAAAACTGTGGCAGGACTGTAGGATGATTGTTAATTTGGAGATCATATCATGTATGCATAATATAGGCTACATGTGTTAAATTCCTTTGAAACCATTGTTGTCTAGGGATCATTACATCCAAATGTTTATGTCACCCCAACGACAGTATAGAGAATATAAAGTAGGACCACTTTCTGTGCAACTTACTGCTGTATATATAATTATATTACTGGGTGTAGTTTACCAGTTCAGTGCACCTATTGGTCAAAAAATGGTAGTGTCTGACTGCCACTATGGTAATCACTTGTGGAATAAAATATTCATGGCACAAAAATATTCAATGCAATCTACTGCATGTTCTCTATAAAATTATACTATATGTTCCTGTAACCATGCCCCAATTACATTATGTCTTCTTTAGGTCCAAAGTAGTGAATGAAGCATTAGTCCAAATAAATTACACCTGCTCATTTTTTTTTATCATAATACCTTCTAAACAATGATAATGGTTATGAATTTTTAAAGAATAAAATTTTCAGTGGTGTAGCCAGACTGATAAAATGTTTAGTCCTTCTATGTACGTTTTTATATTCTTTTACTTTGAAAATAATAGGCAATTTACCTTGTGAGTCGTAAAGTGTCCCTTCCACCAAAAAAATTTTTTAGCAATATCAAATCTGTCGATGATTTTAAGCCTCGTTGAGGAAGAAAATTTAAATTTAGTCAAATCGTTTGATTTTTGTAAAAGCGTTAAATTCACTAAAATCGTATATTCTTGTGAACTATGTCCGTGATAATGAGGAGCCTGAAACTAGCTAATTTTCTGACGTCATCTAAGGTACTCGTGTTACACGAGTCGTGTATTCAATTGCTACCAAGTCAATGCTGCCTGAGGCACAACTTAAGTCTATAAGCGCCTAAAAGCATTGCCTTTGCACTAGTGATAGCAGAAAAAAGGTAAATTGTTGCGTTGCAGCCAATTGTACGAATGAGTCAAGCCTTTGCTCTAGTATGAGTCTTCACACTATGCCTTATAATGATAAAAGGCCCGAGGCCAAGCGAAGACGGAATATCTGGGTTTTAAAGCAAAGTGCGTATTTGAGCCTTCCAGTGCTTCAACACTTTGTTCGGCCCGATTAAAACGAGAGGATTTGGAGCGTCAGTTTAGTAGTTTGCCGAATCAAAAAAATGCTAATTTTCCAGGACTTAAAAAAGATGAGATTAGAATTTGTGTCTTTCTGACCATCCATTCTTTGGACTGAAAATCTGAATCATTATCGCTCAAGTTTCATTGCTTTCCTAGTTTTCTGTCACGTATCCCGGAATAAAGTTTTTGTCAGAATTATCTGACTGAACACTAAATTTTGATTTTGATTTATTGCTTTCTTTGGAAGACATATAATTAAACAGCGTGAAAGAATGTATATGTTTAATATAAGCTAAATATGCCCGAGTGCTGCCTATATTAGATGACGTCAAACACCTTCTAGTGCCAGTCTCTTTAGTATTATAGAAATCGACGGCGTTGAGCCAAAAATGCACAACTTCAAGATTCCATAAAAGCTTGTTGATTTGAGTAAATTTTTGAAATTTTTTCTCTGAAAGGCTAAAAATCATAGTAAGATTTTAGATTGCTAAATAAATTTTTGGTGGCAATATTGAAAAAGTGTCTGAGTGAGGCAGTGTCTGTCTGTCCGTCGTGATATCTTCGGCTGTGTCCTCGTTCATAGTTGCAAATGCGAACGATAACGACTAGTATTGTTTTGTCTAGTATAGGCAATGATTGGAATTTGATAGCTACACTGTGCACTCCGTGCTTGTATTTTGCTCAGTATTTTATTCGTATATCACGTTGTTTATCTCTCACCCTGTGTTCTGTGTTTTGGTGAGGAAAATGTAAAGCAGACAGGATATAGTTTTCTTTATATTTATTTCAATTAGTAATGACGGCGATTTGGATTTAACAGATCGTCAAAAATGACGAAGAATTTAAATATGTTATGGCCCTACGGAAAATAACTACATCAGCAATGATATATGTACCATGTGCAATGCCTCCTCATTTTCAAAATAAACAAAAAAATTTAAATTGAAACAGAATCATCGGCAACATAGTCCTATCAATAAGCAAAAATTCGTACAACAAAACAAACCGATTTGATATATCTTTTCACCACACCATTGTTAGACAAATAAGATACAATATTAATTGAAAAAAATCGTTTTATATCAAAATGGCGAAGAACTTTTTGTTCTATCATTGAAATTTATGAGATTTATAAGAACATTGCAATTAAATTGTTTTTTGCAAGCTTCCTATGCACGATATTAGCCCGTGAACACCAGCACACATAACATGCACTGAGCGTAGGAGAGCAATAAAAAGGAAAGACAATGATAATTACTGGGCATTTTTATTAAACATTGAGCACAAAGAACGTTTTGTACCAAAGAGAAGTGCCAAAGAAGGAATGATTTCATTTTGTGGCATTTTGACTTGAAAATATTTTTTGTTATTTTTCATATGTTATTATTACGGAGTGATTTTGGGACTTGACCTTGGAAATGGCCTTAATTTAATGAAAAATACAATATTAAGCAGTTGGACTACTGACTACTGTTTGCTTCATGTACTTTAACTCTGGTCAAGGCTACCCACGTGTACACACGTACCTATTTTTTATGTACCTTGTATATCTGGGAACGGTTGCACGAAGCCTGGATAGCATTATTTGTCGGATAGTAAAATTTTCAAACTTGTAGAAAAATTTTGTAATCTGTGAAGCAATATTTGATTTCAATGATTGCTCAGTTCTAATCACATATTGATCCTTTTTTAAGAGATTTTGTAAAAGTTCAAAACTATTTACCATCTAATGGATAAAACTATTCTCCCTTCATGTAACTGACCGCAGGTTTTCCATTATAATCACAATGAATTTGTACCATGGAAATCTTACATACTTTTTTTCTGCAGGGAGCAACATTATGTCTGTCTTGAGCTCAGACATGAAAACTAATGGTTTTAAGTTGATGAGATTAATTGTTGATGTTGGTGGAGAAGCTTTAAGAATAACATTGAGGAAACAACTGTCAGGTACTGATTTATTTTATGTTTTAAATAAGACAGAAAATTATAATAAGCTTTTGTTGCTAAAAGATAAGCAAATTATAAAGCAACATCAATGGGATCTACTGTATCCTTCTCCTCCAATATTACCAAATGAAAATAAGTTTGACATTACTTTACTTTGTATTCTCCTGCGTAATATTTGTGGTTTAAAACCACCTCGTGATCCAATATGGCAAAACATGCCTAATGTCACTGATTGTTCAACTGAAGCAGATATTACCCGTATCAGGTTATTTCGTAATGATCGTTTTGCTCACTTACCTGACACTTCAGTAAGCTGTGATGAATTTGAAAATCATTGGCTGGATATAAGTGAACCATTAGTTCGTTTAGGAATAAGTCAGGAAAAAATAGATAGATTGAAAAATGAGTTGTTTGGTAATGAAGAATGTGAAAGAATTTTGAGAGAATGGGATAGATTAAAGAGCGATTTAACTGATATTAAAACTGATCAGAGAGGTATTAAGAGAACAGTGGAGGGTATAGAGAAAGATTTACAACAGGTAAAAGATAGTGTCACAGTAATTAAAGACGAAGTACATGAAATACGACATCACCCTCACTTAGGTTCAGAAGAAGATATTTTGACAAAAAACCTTGTTAGCTGTAACTTTGAAAGTGAAATTAGGCATCATTATGAAAAATTTTTAGAGGGAACACGGAAATGGGTTTTTGATGAGTTCTTAGCTTGGTTCGAAGACGACAGTTCTAAAAATCGTGCATTCGTTATTTCTGCGGTTGCTGGAATGGGTAAATCTGTAGTTTCAGCTACTTTATGTAAACGTTATCCACAATATTTGACTGCAGTTCATTTCTTTCAACACAACAACAGTCGTTACAATAAAGCCAATGTACTTCTTCAATCTTTAGCTATGCAAATTAGTCGTAAGTTTCCTGCTTACAAACAACTTCTTGTGGAAAAACTTTCAAGTAAACTCTCTCAGCCTTTGAATAACATGAATGTGGAAGGATTATTTTCCCTTCTTTTTACTGAGTTGTTTTATAATATCTCAGAAGTTCCCAAGCGAATGTTAGTTGTGCTTGATGCTCTTGATGAATGTGGTTATCCTGAAAGAGATGACCTTGCTTATTTGCTTGCTAATCACTTACACAAACTTCCGCCTTATTTTCGTTTTGTAATTACAACCAGACCTAACGAAGTTGCTTTGAATAAGTTCGAAAAATTAAATCCACTGTTCATTAATTGTAGCGATGATCGCAATTTAGAGGATATTAAATTTTTGATTGAAAAAAGAATTGGCTCTACTGGCAGCCTATCTGATGTTAAAAACAGTTTGGCAGAAAAAGCTGACGGACTTATGTTGCTTGCATCACTTCTTAGCAGTGAAGTCAAAAATCAGGATTTGTTGAAAGGTCCCATACCAAAAGATCTCAGTGATTATTACGAAATTTGCTTAACAAGATTAAGTAAGGAATTAGATTCGTTTCATATTAGTAACGAAAAGTTTCAGTCAATTTTAAATGCTCTGGCTGTTGCTAAAGAACCTCTTCCTTGGAAAATGATCGATGACGTTCTTTGTTTGAATTCGAGTCGCGAATCACTTGGGGTTAGAAAAATTATCTCTTGCCTGTTTGTTAGCAACAAAGAAGGATGTGTTTCGTTTTTTCACAAATCTTTAAATGATTGGTTGTTGGATGATCGAAAACATGATTACTCAGTAAAAACTTCTTATGGTCATCGACTTGTTTTAGAATTTTGTTTAAAAACTTTGGATAATCTCAAAGCTGTAGGTGTAAACTATGACGTCATTAAATATGCGTCAGTGAGGTATTCAGTCAAGTATTGGTTGCTTCATTTACTTGCTATTTCTGATAATGAATTTATGGTTGAAAATGTTGGTAAATATCTTGTTGACTTAGAAGTTTTAGTTGCTTCTGTGTTGGTTGATCGTTCTCGTACTTTTGAAAATTTTAAATTATTCAACGCACATGATGTGTACTTTCTTATTTCTGAGGACATTCGATTTTTATTTAATGAAGTTTATTCTGTAATGACAATCTTTGACGATGAAGAAGATTTTTTGCAATACGTTGCCAACGAAGTCAATGATCTGTCGTCTCAAGCCACCACAATGCTTCAAACACGTTTCAAAGGCTCACCATATCTAGAGTACAGAGACACGAGTTCTGTAAAAGTTCGATTATTACTTTTGAATCAATATTTGAAGTCTCTTGATGTTTCACGAAATCATGATTACGTCGTCTGTGGTTATGAAGAATTCATCGTGCAACTTTTTTCATTGAGAACAAACAGATGTTTATGGATAAAAAATATTGCTGGTCAGTTTAAGCAATACAACGAGAAAGACTTTTGCGTTGTCTTTCATCCATTCAAGGATTTCATTTTTGCCTCCCAGCTTGATAAGATATTAGATATTAATGGTAAAATTTCCTCCAGTCCGTTCCATTGTGATGATTCCACTTCTAAGTTCTTTACTAACAAATGTTTTTCTAAGGATAAGTACACAATGGTCACTAGTTACGAAGATACTTTGACAGTATGGGATGTTGAGAAAGGTGACAAGAAACGCAGTATTAGATGTAATAATGTGACCTTACTGTGTTTTTCTAATTCTGGAAGATATTTGTGCGTTATTGTGGAAGGAATAGCGTGTAAAGTATTTGATGTAGCGAATAATTATGAAACGATCGATCATTTACTGTCTGGTAAATTAGATGAGGATGATAATTTGTTCACTGTTGGTCTTCATTCCTGGTGTTGTTGCGATACTTTTTATACGAATAAACGTTTCATTGTAAATCCCACTGGTGAGAAACTTCCTGACTTTGATCCTGTTTTCCAAACTTCGTTTTTTCCTCTTGATCCTTTCGATGAGAACAGATCAAGCTTTTCCTTTAGTGGAGAAGAAAAGTATTACTTTATTTTGAATAACGACAATGTTCTTTTGTTTGAATACGGATATGACTTTTATCTTTATTCAATACCGCGTGCATATTTAACTAACAGTTACTGTTTTCGTAACGAGAAATTTTGCTCAAATGGACAATTGCTGTATCGGAGCAATGAAGAAAATTCAAGGATAATTATATACAATCTCAACACATTTGACTTTGTTGTCAAGGAATGTTTTGTTGGTGACATGGTTGCTGTAGAAAATGGAGTTATTTCGCTTACGGCAAAAAATACTCCTGAGCTTTGGAATAATGATTTGACAAAACTTGTTTATAGTTTCGATGAACTTAAAGGTACAAACAAAATTTTTGAGGTGAGTGATGTATCATTTGCTTGTAAAAAAACTGATTCTTTTGTGTTTTTCAATGTTGAAAACAAGCAAAAAGAAATATCAGTAAATTTTGAAAATTATCGAAATGTGCACGTATTTGCATGTAGCTCTAAGTATCACGTGTTTGCTAAAGTTGAATTTAAGGGTCAGATAATTTACTGTATGTGGCATGAAGAAAAACTTGTTAATTGTTGGGATGACGTAATTAAAGAGGACTTAATCACCGACAAAGTCATTGGAAACTTCCGGCGTGATGTTACTCCCTATATAACTTACGCTGCTTTTTCGCCTTCAGCAGATAAATTATTAATAAGTGACATGCGCAGGTATGTGAAAGTATTTGATGTTAAAAACATACAAATTATTTATAGATATACTGGGGGTTTTTCTGATTCAAAGTTTTTCTTTGTTGATGATAGGTATATATTTAACAAAGACTTATATTTAATTGATTTGAAATATTTTAAAAATGAAGGTTATTTTCTCGCATTGTTAAGTATATTTTCAAGAACTTTTTATTACTGTCGTAAACGCAAACTTGCTTTATTTTTTTCTTCCTCAAAGGTCCCGGTACAATGCTTTAAAATCATCTTGCCACGAGAATAAATTTGGTCTTTAATGATAAAATTTCTCACCATTTTGGATAATGACTATATTATCTTTAAGAAAATCTTGTTCAATTTATGCATGATTTCTATCATTGTTGACATTTCTATTAATGTCTGTTTGCCTATGATTTCATGAAACGACCTTTGTCTAATTTGATTATTTTGTACAGAGACCGCAGTGTACGATAATGTCAACATTGAGAGAGATTATGTATAAAAGCTGAAGTTAATTAAAGATGATAATTCAATGACAATAGAGAGAAACCATAAACACAAATGATTTCGTGTTAAAGATAATAATTTTCCTTGCACGAGAAAATAATTTTATTGACTTTCATCTTATCACACAATCAAATAAAGTGCAAACTATTGTTAGTTATTGTACCATTGGTTATATTTTGTTTATATCTACACCATATAAACATATAATTTTCATGCAAGTGTATTCAGTGTAGGATGGTTTTAATATTGCACGTTTTTCCATAGTCTTTTACACCAAAAAACAAGTTGTTACTAATTAAATCAATACTATCTTGCACTGAAATAATTTCTTAATTCTTTTTAATTATTGCATTTTGGTATACAAAATATCTATGTGTTTAAGTTGTTAAGAGAGACAAATACAGCCCAATTGTTACTTCTGATATAGGAATATTTTTATCTTTATCAATTTTAAAAACGTAAATTTATAATAAAGCAATGATATCTTTGCTAATTTTTTCAAGAAAAAGTAAAAATTTGGCTGTCTTTCTCACTGACTGTTAAAAAGTAAATCGTAAACTCGACAAGAATATGACTTATAATTGGCATTAATCAGCGTGATAAACAATTTAACCATTGTGACTGAACACTCCAAACCGTATGAACAGGAAAAGTTAACATAAGTCAAAGAAAGTTTTGCAATATAGAGAGACGGAAAAGAAACCCACAATGTTGCATATGGAAGGGAGTTTAAAGACACGTTTTCAACTTTTTATGCAAAATCGATATCAAGCATTGTTAAAGTTTGAATACTTTTACTTTATAAATCGATACTTTATGGGAATTATTTTTAACAACATCAACTCAATTATCGGTAGACATACTGCAAGTTACTTTGCCAAAGTTTGATATGTTTATGGCTTGTCTATAAAATTCCATCGTCTACTCTTACTTCAAACGATAACACAAGAAGGAGAAGCCTTATTTCAGGAAGTGACGTAATCAAAGAAATGAAAATTTTATGTACCATGGTTCTCTGACGATTTATTGTTGTACATTGTAACGTCACCAGGTCAAGTGTTCATTGAAATGTCATTTGTCGTCAAAAGTGGAAGATATGAACTTTTACATTTTTAAAAAGGTGAAAGCTTGCTGTTCACTTTGTTCACTTTTTATAAAACTGAAACGTAAAAATTATCCTCTCATGTGGACATTTTGATGAGAACAAAATGCATAAGTAATCATGAGAGTGAATAAAAGGAATTTAATTTTATTACATTGTGGCTATTGGAGATGGCTAAAGGAATTTTTTGCTGCATCTATAATTGAAGCTGCTTGATACAAACACACTGTCATTGTGAATATTTTGACACTTGATTACCTTTGCGCGTGCTCTGAAATATATATGTACTTAAATGATACTATAACCTTTCTGATATGATTAAAGATCTCAACAGCAACATGTCATGAAAATTCAAAGCAAACGTCAACTATGGATGGTTGTAGAATGAATGTGATCAGTTTAGTTCATATAAATGGTCAACCCATCATTCACAACAAAAGTAACTTCAACATGTAAGAACTACATCAAGTTATGAGAATGAAAAATATGGAAAAATTTCAACGTCTTTTTTCAAGATGTCATATTTCTTGATCAACTGTGTTTAATTTTTGTGTAGTGAATAAATTTTAGATCATTAAATTTATTTCATTTTGTTGTGCACATATCGACGTATAGTGAATAGATATCTTTTATAACATCTCATAAACGGTCATCTACCGTAAGCAGACATTAGGTCGTGGTCTCAAGGATGTCCGTTTACGAGTAGCTTGACTGTATGCAGACTTTTCATTTCTGCACTTTTTCTTTACGTTTCTAGATTTTTCTTTTACTTTTTAAATTTTAAATGCTAAATAAATGAATCCCACATAACTCAACACCATTTTTTAGACCAGGCATGTGCAGCCCGCGGGCCACAATCCGGCCCCGAAGGGCAGTTGTTGTGGCCCTCATTGATGCCAAAACATTTAATAAATTTAGACATTTCTTATGATGACTGGCCCTCCCTGTTGTTCAAATGATTGAAAATGGCCCTCCAGTGAAAAAGGTTGCACACCCCTGTTTTAGACTAATGGTAATTTGCCAACTGCCATGTGAAAATCACTGGTGCTTTAGAAAAGGAGGAGTCCTATCTTGAATTCAAAAATACAATTTTTTAAAATTAGCAATCAATAGTTGTTTAATAACTTTCACTGACATTCAGCAACATTATTTGTTGGTAACTGTCATCTTGTAAAGGAAGTTGAAAAATACCCACATTTTATCAAAACAGAACAATTGCAGTTGCCATTTTAAAGACTGGTTGGGATTCATTCATTTAACACTTATAAAAAATTTATTACAGGGCAACTTTCTTTTTGGCAGTGTTTTGTTGAACTTTGTTTTTTAACACGTATTGACATAGTTTTATTATATTAGTATGTTGATGTAGGAAATAATCGTTGTATAAATATGTTTTCTACGAAATTGTTACAATGTGTGTGTTGATCTATATGTAGTGTCTTAAATAAATTTCGTTGCAAAATGCTATGATTGACCACAGCAATTTAGGTTGACTTCGAGTTTTCTCTTAACTCTTTTTTATTAATAGTTGATTTTCGTCGCTTAATAAGCTCGAGAAACGTTTTTCAGTTTTTGGCTTGGTGGCTGTTTTATTCGTTATGATATTAAAATGAGTGGGCAACACTTTTTCATATGTTTTCCTGGCAGGAAATCATGCATTTATTTCAAGTCATGTGACTACTAATAAACCAATCACAATTACTATACACAGCATCTATATAACAATTCAACTACTTGCATAAACAGTCATAATTCGAAAGTTGATTTGCCGATTTTTATGGTTTGCAGGATTCCAAATCAAAATCAAACGACTTTCATGCACATCATTAGTCTCCTAGAATTTAGTTCAGAAAAATGCATCTGTGAGACATGGTGATCAGGAATTAACTTTTCAGAATAAGTTGATTTTTTTAATACTGTTTTTATACATCCTGTATTTGTTCCTTTTTGGGAACACCCGTATAATGTATATATGTACGTAAAGAATGGTTCACAAGATGAGAACATCAGGTACAATTACATCTTTTACACGTAGAATCTTATCAATTTTCTTACATTAAAGTTGTCGCAAACAGATACTTTAATACTAATGACTTAATAGTTTATTATGTAATTATGATGAATAAGAATCGGACATGTTGACAGTAGCTATACTTAGCGATGAAAGTTGCGAGAAACCAATAAAAGAATGTACGTAGAACTTAAAAGTGTTTGATGTTACTTAGGCCCATTTCAAACGTCAAACTTTACACGGAACAAACGCATTTAAAACAAAAGATAATTAGGAAACTCATCTCATTTTCTTTTGTCTTTAATGCGTTTGGTGCATGTAAAGTTCGACGTTTGAAACAGGCCTTAGATTGAAATTAAAAGGTATCAGAAAAACACTTTAATTTTGAAGAAAAAGTAACATTTATATTTTTTGATAAGCATCCTGAACACCATTGATTTTTTGTTGTGTTTATAATTAATGAAAATTGTATTGTTAGTACTAATTTCATGAGTTTCGTACCGGTTTGAGGAAATGGCACTTGTGCCATGTTGTTCGTCATGGTCATTTTACCTAATAACAGTTGAGATTACTTCCGGTAAATGAAATGAATACAAAGTCTTATACGGGTTTTCGACTATAGCACCGTACCACAGATTAAGAATATACAGAAGAGTCACTCGTGTCGGAACCTTTGATGTTTTTGTCCTCGCGCATGTCGTCACGCGCATGGTGGCCGACATTATTCCAGCCAGCTGATTAAGGTTTTTGACTTTTTCCAAATCTTAAAAATGATCCGAAGTCATTTTTTAAGTAACGAGGACGCGTTGTACACCTGAGTGACCCTTCTGTATAGTCATTATTCTGTGACCATACACTAGTTTGTATCTGATTTTCTCGTCGTGGAATGTTTGGGTGTCAAGGAGAAGCGTCTTCTTTCAAATTTTGCTTCATTTCATTATGGGTTATCCGTTAACAGTTAGCATTTGATATACAGACATAAGATTGAGTTTATATGAAATGTAACAAATTGGATGTTTCCTAAATTTGCCACGAGAGTTTTGCCAAATATCCACAACCTCTTTCCCATTTTCCCCGTATGTTTAAAGTTCAGTTAATTTTTCTTGTGTCATGGGTGTGTATGCTACTGGACGTAAGAAAGGAACCAAGGCCGATATACAGCGCGAAGCACCCAGGGTGGTATATCGATGAGGCGAGGCTCTATAAAAGTCGTTAACAAACTTATTATACGATGGAAGACGTTTTCCCAAGGAATTATTTGATTATAGTTGTGCAAAAATTGATTTTATATCGAAGGTAATTATAATATAAACACAATACGTGAAAGCATAAACAATAGAGAAGTGTCCATTAGTGTTTGAGTCAAAAGAGTGATGAATCCCAAAGGTGTTTGGTTTTCTACTTTATTTAAAATTCATATTTTTGCGTGCTGTTTGTAGGATAGCTTTACTTCCCCATGCACTTGTGTTTGATTTGAGCTGTGTCTTTGCTTGTTAAGGATGTCTGAGATGGTTGCCAGGTTTGAATTTTTTGGAGGGGCAAACTTTAAACATTTCTAGACACGATTAACTCTGAGATGATGAGCTAACAGCACAAGATATGGATTCAAACGTAAAGCAAGTTAAATCGTTTATCGTAAATGTGGAAGTTAAAGATTAAAGTTGCTTGATGATCATTCACTATGGCGTTGTGAAATACAATCTTCTTTCTATTGGGCAA